CCTCACTTTGAGTGTTGCTTCCTGGCTCTGGAGGGGAAGATGGTGCATTCCTCAGTCTCCTGGAGAAGTGTTGGAGACCACTACAAAATGGCTGAGCTGGATTTGGTATTAACCAATTGGCTTTCTGTGTTCACTTGTGAGTTGTCTGAAGCTTAGGCACCTTGTCTGGGGATGGGCAGGGGACACAGCATGTGAACCTCTGGGAGTCCCTGGTCACCCTGAAGCCTGTATTGGCTTGTAAACCTGTGACTCCTCGAAGGACAAGGTAAGGCCACAGCTGAGGATGTTTGGCTCCTACCCCAGTGAACCACAAGGAGACTGCAGCTGCAGGCGCCACACTCCTACAATAAATACCAACCTAAAGCTAAGGCAGTTCTCCTGATTGACCTAATTTACTACTTGGGAAAATTCTCCCAAGGTCCTGCAAGACTCCCGCGTTTTCTTGAGTATCCTCCTCCTTTGTTTGAAAACCAAATAAATACAGGCTGCCCAGAGAAGTCTTTGGCTAAACTCAGAGAATATTAAAGCTGTAAGAGAGTTAGTCCCTCCTGGAGCCCTGAAATCGTTTCCATTGTCTCATTTATTTAAGCCTTCTCCATCCACTCGCTTGGGAGATTGTGGGCCTGATCAGCCTGCAATAACTAAGGGTTACTTAACCCGACACAGAAACTTGTTGTGCTGGCTTTCCTGATAGGAGCTTGGCTCTTTTCACTGGGGGAGAAGCTCGGGACCTCGCTGTTGCTGAGGATGGCTGTGGTATCTTTCGGGGGAGCTCTGGTTCTTTGAGCGCTGCTTCCTGGCTCCAGTGCAGCTCCCTCAGCCTGCTAGCACAGATCCTCCATCTCACTGGTGCAGACCTTCTAGCTTCCACCACTGACCTTTGGGCCTTCTCAGTGCAGATCCGTGAAACAGGCCTGCATGAGATATTGTTGTGGGCTCTTAGCCTCCAGCTGGACTCATGCGGGGCACCGTTATGAGCTCTAGGTCTTCATCTGGACTCATGTAGGACATTACCTTGGGATCCAGGCCCTCAGCTGGGTTCCTTGGTCTTTAGTGTGTGGATAGATTTCCTGCACTCTTTTCATATATGACTCTTGGGTTACTACTATAAACAATCTTATAAAATATGTGCCCTGTATTGTATTGTTCCCCTTGCAAAGCCCCAAACTACAACACCCATGTTTATTGTAGCACAGTTCCAAATAGCTAAATCTTGGAAGCAGCCTATATATTCATCAGCAGATGAATGGGGAAAGAAAATGCGATATTTAAGCACAGTGAAATACTACTCTGCTATAAAGACCAATTTTGTAGGAAAATGGATGCACTTTTTTTTTAATTGAAAATGGATGCACTTTGAGACCATAATGTTAAGTGGAATAAATCAGACACACAAGCTTAAATATTGCATGTTTGCTCTTATATGAGAAACTCAAAATATAAATGAATTGAAGAGCAAAATAAAAGATAGATCATGCAAAACCTGGAGTTATATCTCCTGCAAGTAGGAGTAAGAGACTAGGGGGTGGTGGTTAGAGAGACAAGGGAAGGGGATATAGAAGAATTAAGGTGTGTTACATGTATGTACCAACTACCTACAATGAATGCAATCATTGTGTACTGCAAACGTGAACTAAAAAGAATTGAGGAAGAGGGTACAGAGATAGAGGGAAGAGGAAGGAGGAAGGTGAAGAGAAGGGGGATACGAGAAGATATGTTAAGTACATATACCTGTTCCATAAGATGAATGTAAACACACACTGCAAACTTGTACTAATGAAATTAAAAAAAAATACATATCAGCCAGGTGTGGTGGCACACGCCTCTAATCCCAGCACTTGGGAGGCTGAGGCAGGAGAATCATTGCAAGTTCGAGGTCAGCCTGGGCTACAAAGTGAGCTCAAGCCTAGCCTGAACTGCATAATGAGACCCTACCTCAAAAAGACAAAAAAAAAAAAAAAAAAAAAAAAAAAAAAAAAAAAAAATCAGTCATAACAGAATGACTGATTCTTCTTCATAACAGAAGAAACAGACCGCCAGAATGGATCAAGAAACAAGATCTAACAGTATGTTGCACAGAAGAAACATGTTTAACTCAAAAAGAAATGCACAGGCTAAAAGTCAAAGGATGGAAAACAATGCTCCATGTGACCAGAACCCAGAAAAAAGAACCCAGAAAAAAAGAACCCAGAAAAAAGCAGGGGTAGCTATTCTACTTGCAGAAAAAGCTGATTTCAAGCCAAGAGTGATCATGGAAGACCAAAAATATCACCACATAGTTATTAAGGGAACAAATCAAGAAAGGGATAATAATCATAAATGTATATGCATCTAATACCAGTACAGCCAGCTATATAAAACAAATATTAACAGATATGAAAAATCAGATAAGCACTAATATAATTGTGACAGGGGACTGCAATACCCCAATGTTACAAATAGATAGATCAACTAGAAAAAAAAAAAAGAAAAAAATCAACAAAGAAATATCAGAGTTGAATGAAATCTTTGAAAAAATGGACTTAGTAGATATCTACAGAGTGTTCCTCCCCACAACAACAGAATATACATTCTTCTCAGCTGCACATGGGACCACCTCCAAAACAGACCACATACTAGCTCAGAGAACAAGCTTAAATAAATACAAATGAATTTAAATTATCCCATGCATGTTATCAGATCACAGTGCAATGACATTGAAAATCAACTGCAAAAGAAACCACAAAAACTGCATAAACACATGGAAATTAACACCTTCCTGAATAACCAATGGGTCACAGATGAAATTAAAGAAGAAATTAGACAGTTTCTAAAGTTAAACAATAGTGCCAATATGACATAATAGAACCTATAGCATGGAATGAAAGCAATCCTACAAGGGAACCTTATCAAAAAAAGGAAAGACTCAAATCCATGCAAGTAAGAGTAAACAGCTCAAAATCACAACAATCCTAGAGAAATTCAGAAGATCATCAGTACCTACTTTGAGAACCTGTACTATGATGGAAAACCAGAAATGGACAGATTCCTGGATACATACAACCAAAGCTAAATCAACACGATATAAAAAGTCTAAATAACCCAATATCAGTCAATGAAATTGAAGAATTAAAAACCTACCAACAAAGAAAAGCCTGAGTCTTCACAAATTCACCACTGAATTCTACAAGAAATTTAGAGTAGATCTAAGGCCACTATGCCTCAAAGTCTTTCATGAAATTGAAAGGGAAGCAATATTCACAAACTCAATTCATGGAAATAAGTATACCCTTATACCAAAACTACAGAAAGATCCATCTGGGTAATCCACATGCTCCCATACTCTGACCAAGTATCCACCAGATTGAATTTTTAAATGGTCATCACCTGACCATGAGTCCTTGATATTACTGCTCTTCTTTCATGACTTACATTAGGGAACTACATGGTCTAAAGAGCCAAATAGTAATTCATCTTCTCTTCCTTAACTTCCATATGTAAAATTTTTTGAGTATGTGACTAGGAATATTTTATAATGTACTTCATATTTATAAGGCTTGAATTAATGTGTGCATCTTACATAAAGAGATCATGAAATCTGTAGTACAGTTTTTATGTTTAGGCCTCGTAAGTCTGGAGAAACATCTTCATTGGATCACTGATGAAAACCAGAATGTTGGGGTCTTTACATAAAACTTTAAACACAAACCTTCAAATGAAGTCACTTTGACTATTTTTTTTTTTTTTTTTTTGGTTTTTGGTTTTTTCTCCGGTACCGGGAACCAAACTCACAACCTTGCGCTTGCCAGGCAGGCGCTTTTGCCACTGAGCTAAATCCCCAGCCCCGTCACCTTGACTATTTTAACAATGGTTCTGTGCAACACCCTCAGCTTCCTGAGACCAGGGTTGTGGGATGAGACGGCTAGGAGGAAGGCGGGCTTCAGGGTTTGGTTTCCTGTCCAATCTTTGCCACTCCAAGTTCTTAACTTCTCCCACCTCAGCTTCCAAAACTCTAAAATGAAGATACAGCTAGGTGCTGTGGATTAGGTGGGAGGGTCACACATTCAAGTCTAGCCTGGGCAACCTGGTGAGACTTTGTTGTGAAGTAAGAAAGCAAAAGGGCTGGCAGTGTATGTAGCTCAGTGTGAGGGCTCAGGTTCAAGCCCCAGTCCTGCTAAATAACTACGACGTTCAGAGCCTGAGCAGAAGAAAGGCATTTTTTTACACTATGTCTCTACTAACTGATAACTAACAGTGCTCAGATGAGCGGGTTACCCTGACACAACTGTACTAAGACACAGTCAGATGTGCTGCTTGGGCCTTGAGAAAGAGACACAGTGAGATGTGCTGCTTGGGCCTTGGGCCTGTGAGAAAAGAGACCTAATGTCCTGTGGGTTCTTTCTACAGGGACTACAAACATATGCCACTACTATGGTAATTTTTATTTCTTCTCTCTTTGGGTAGGGACAGTGTTGATGTGATGGAGACCAATACAACGCGGCTCTGAGCAAGATTTAAATGAACCAACTAGCTTTTTATGTTTACTTGTGAGTCTGTCCAAGGCCTACACCCCTTGTCTAAGGCCACAGCTAAGAACAGCTGGCTCCAACCTCAGTTAACTAGATAAAGACAGTAGCTGCAGGCATCTCACTCCTGGGTGGAGACCTTCCTGTAGGTAACACAGTTCTCGTAAATGAGCATAACGTCTTGCTTGGAGAAGCCCTTGAGCAGTTCTCCCCTTTGTTCAGTATTCTCGTTTTGATAACTAGATAAATACGGGCCGCCCAAAGATCTTGGTCTTAGCTCCCAGAGAATCTCGAATTGTCAAGAGTTCTGATCCTCCTAGAGCCCTAAAATCATACCACTCGACTCATTTAAGCCTTCACCGTCCACTCACTTGGGAGACTGTGCGCCTGACCAGTCTGCAATAACTAAGGGATAATATTAACGTGTTACTGGTGAACTATTTAGAGAACTGCATTAGGTGTCCCAAGTCACACGTATGAAGAAATGTAAAATAATGAAATTATAGCCAACATTTATTTCTGTAGACGCATTCTGCCCCAAAGATGCTTCCATGGCTGGTATGCACCAACGTACCATTTTCCTTGCACGATGTCGCTCACACCCGCAGTGCGACCCTGTGGGGTTTACAGACGAGATGACTAGAGCTCAGTGTCACAGGCTTCCCAGGCTGCCCCTGTACACGGCAGGTCAGAGACGAACACTTCAGCACCCTGACTTTAGGGACCACACTTACCAAACTCGCTGTTAAAACATCAGGGATATCTGATCTCACGATAAAGCAGTCATAGAATGAAGAGACCTCTGAGGTAATATAACGCTGTGCATGTCTCACTGGTTGAAGGCCTTGGAAAAGCTGAGACACACTGGTGTCTTTTCCATTTGAAGTAATGGGAACACGGGGTCAGGTGATCCCTCGATCTATTCTCCGATGTCCTCTCTGGAACAGACTAGACGTGAGCAGCAAGAGACAGCTGTGTACGAAGGTGCGTGATGAACTGTAGAGTGCTGTCCCATCTCCAGGTAAACATCGCGAGCAGGACAGTCCTCTGAGCAGCTGGCTGGTCACCTCCAGTGGGCGAGGACAGGGTCAGAAAACTCAGGCTCAGTGGGAGTTTTGTGAGCTGCTCGAGGACAGAACCTGTAGTCCCAGCACAAGCCCCTGCAGGCACGGAGCCCAGGGCTGGCATGCTGAGCTCTACCCCCGACTGCTGTATCTTTATCTTTTACAGCATGAGCAGTTTTCTGACGCTGCGAGCATCCTGCCTTTTCCAGTGATGTGGAAGGACGTTTCACCTCTCTGAACCTGGCTTTTGGGGGAACGAGGCCCGAGGACAGACTGCTACAGCTCGTCTTGGTTGCTTCTCTCCCGGGAAGACACCCACCGACTGAGAATCACTTCCTGCAATCCAGCAAAACACACAAGTAACTGCACGCCCAACACAGAAGCGAAAGAATGTGCCCAGCACTGGCACCACAGCCCTGCTTCACAGACAGCTGCTGGGGCAATGCGCTGGCGCCCTTGCCGTTCCGGAGACAGGAAGCCCATGACGGTGGAAGCCTCCATGCGGAGTACCCACCATCTGTGCTGCACAGCTGTCTGTGTTAGAGGGGCTGAGGACCGGGCCCAGGGCCTCGCATGGAACCTTTCATTGACTCCCAGAGCTTTTAATCCTTCAGTGCCTAGTGGTCTATTTCTAGAATGCCTGTAACAATGGAACAGAATGAAATGTGTTCTTTTCAAATTCTTGTTTCTTGAGTATTTCTAGGTAACATACATGAATTTCATGAAAAAATTCAGAAAATTTCAATCTTTGGCATACATGGGTTAATTTCGAGACCGGGTCTCATTCAGCTGCCCAGGCTGGCTTTAAACTTGTGATCTTCCTGCCTCAGCCTCCCAGAAACTGGGATTACCGGCACGCAAAGATCTTAAAGACTGAACTGGCCTCAGCCGTGTGCTAGCTCATCACGGGGCAGGCCCTGGTTTCCATTCCCAGCACAGGAAAAAAGAACATTCAAGGGGCAGCGGGGGAGCCGAGAGAAGAGCTGTCACCGGAAAAGACCTTCGCACTCCTTGGCACCACACGTCCCAGAGGACACAGTGCAGTGCGCCGGCCTTCAGGACACGTGAGTGTGGCTGCGAGGGACCCACCTGAACCTTAATTTTCCTCAGACATTCTGGGGACTCCATGTCTTTGTCGGTCATGGTGGCGGGTTTAATCAGGTAGCACAGCATAAGTTCCTGTGGGGAGGAAAAGGCCATTTCCGTATCTCACGGACAGCAGAAACACAGGTGGTGAGCTAGAGATCCACCCGTCCCCAGTGTCCTCTGCTGTGACCTAGAGGCGCCTGCAGCACGCGGGGTTTCCCCTGGGAACTTTTTTTTTTTTT